CGAAATAATAACAACAACAACAAACAAACTGGTGATGACAGATTTTCCCCACAAACTGATTTTAAAAAAGATTTCCGGTATCTTTTTTCATTTCTAGAATTCTTGTAAGTTTTTGTGTTGCGTTGAAATGTTCATTTAGTGGTTACTTTAGAACGGTGGTCCGTTAATGGACATACAATAAAATAATGAACAACGACCCGAATGGTGGCCCCTGACCCGCAGATGCCTCTATGTACAGTTCTCTTACCCCAAGATCTACAACTAAAGAAATCCTGCTATTCTTTACACAATACTGTAAAGAGCGGAACTAAGTAAGAGTAGTAAGAACTACGCGGATTGCAAGGTATGGCTGAACCAGATCGAAGTCGAAGAAGTTCTTCGAGAAATCACACCAGAAGAAGACAGAATCATTTTACACCTCTACGTTTCTCTCTCTGAACACACAGCTGTTTCAACACTCCAGTGACTCCAGTAGGCCTAGTAAAACATTCAGTTTACAACACAGCCCAGCTCACTACAGGCTGGTTATTTTCGAAACTTGAGGACACTTCAAAACACACGTACCTACTTGAATTTCTGAATGGTGTTAGATTTAGTTTCAACCCAGAAAGCGTCGACTGGTTTCAACTTAAAATATTATACTATACACGTGTTCGTGTGCCTGTGGCAATCGCTTACGTCTGTCAAAACGGTTGAAGATACACGCACGCACGCACCGACCGAGCAATGTTGTGTGTTAGTATGAAGTCGAAGTGTAACAGTCTTATCATCAGCTCTGTCTCTATCTCGCGTAGGCCCTGTCTTCACACACGATAACTTATAATAAATCAATTAATGAGAGACGTGTAGCCTAGCCTACTTAGATCTAACACTCTGCTACTCCGAAATATTTCGTGTACTGTTAAACGTGTAAGGTGTAAAAATAAAAAAAGCAGATCCTCACAATGTGCACAGATTGTTCAGAATATTCGCCCTCCTTTCTTCTGAGATTGAGAACACAGTAGACGTTGGCACAGTGTTACTGACACTGACCCTACTTATTGGCGTAGCGGCCCAAGCTAGGGGCGGAGCACGCTCTACTTGTTGCGTCAAGACATAATACATACTGTGTGTTAGAACGGCCTTGGAGCCACGGCTCTTTTTTGGCCCCTGACCCAGGCAGCCATAGCATATTTTTACCTATCGCCCGGCCAGCCCTTCAGGTAATCACACTGTTACGGTAAGCTCATAAGAAAAGGGAAGAAAGGTTGGCATAGAGGCAGGGGTATTAGGGGTGGGGTCGTGGGGAGGTGGAG